CACAGCGACGAAAACTGTTAGGCAAGATTGAAGGGGAATATACCGTATTTAATGCTCAGTTGGCTAAGTTCTAGATAGAAAGCTTTAGTTTTCGACAATTCGCATTGTGATTTTGAATGAAAACTTCAACAAGTGCTACAGCTGATTTATGCAGTAAATATAATACAGAGTTATTATTGCTCAATTGCAATGCTATAGGATGTCTTTAGCTGAACAACCGACTGTTCTGTATATGAGAAAGTTTGACCACCTGCTGAATTTAACCATCGTATAAATAAGTTGAAAAAAAGAAAAAATTTCCATAGTAGCTCTGAGTGAACTGGAACCAAGCCTATTTTTTGTCCAAGTTTTAGGAGATACGGTCTACGAATACTAAGCTTTAAACTGAGGGCAGAATCGAGAGCTTGTTTCGGATACTGATAGTTGTTCACCGTATCCGCTTTAACAGTGAAATTAGTAATTGCAGGCTCGGCTGGCACCTTTTCCTAGGAATATTTATGACGCAGTTCCTCGTAATTTCCGGCACTACACGTGTTGTATTTAACATGTAGGGCATGTATGAAAAAAAAAGGCCAATTCGTTTGAGCTTATTGTCGGCTAGGCATCATTTCAGCAAATATATATGTACATAAGAAAAAGGTAGAATGAGATACATTGATTACCGGTTTCTCAATTGTTAATTGGCTTTTTACGGGAGAATGAAAATTGGTCTACGAAAGGGTTTAAACAAACGTCACCTTAGTGGTCAGTTTCGATATAGTGGAAAGGCGCATAACGACTGACGTATAATGATCCTGGGGATATGCAAAGGTCAGGATCGTCTTAATTGACTAATGACATTCTACTGTACAACGTCTTTATATCATGATACTATGGGTGGTCATTGAGAAATGCTCTCTAGTCTCGTTCCCGTTTTTTGCGAACTATGCTTTCGACGCTGGCGGCGTGATTCGATCACACTAACGTTGAAGTTCATTCAGAGTTCGACTTGGCCCATTAGAGCTCAACTTTAATAAAAACCATTCTGCTAATTTTTTTTCGTGAGATTAATCAGGTTGATACTGAAGCTACCGTTTTCCCTAGAGAGTTTCCCTAGAGCTACCGTTTAGCCTAGTTAGAGACTAGCCTTTTGGAACTTAATTTTTAGACACTATTTTTGTGAGGTTGTACCGGCATAAAATATTCTGTCAAGAAAAAGGTCATCGAGGTAGTCGAGTTCGATTAGCGTTTTTGTCCTGTTATTTCATTTTATTGTGTCATATGCTTGTCTTCGGGTGCACCTAGGCTAAATGGAAGTCATGGAATGAACAGCTTTTTCATAGATTGACTGTTTTTGATATAACCACCCTGCGAGCAACGCTGCTGTAGAAGTTGTTAATTCTGAACTGGAGCTTGGACATGCTATCACTAGATATTTGTAACTGGTACAATGGGAACAATCTTTTACTTAAATTATTTTCCGAGTTTCACGTGCAGTACCTTAGCTCAAGCATTGTTTCAAACCGCTGACAGTCTTTTCAAGCATGAATGTGTCGACGTTTCGTAGTAACCGAGCACATAGTCGGTCTGCGTCGTCACGTAACGGGAACTCCTGCGTAGAGATAATGCAGCCCCGCCACCTCTTTGCATAAATAGCGCAAAGTGCCGAGGATGCTGTGTTGTTCTACAACAAGTGACATAAGAAACAAAGCCTTGAATTGAAGAAATCTGATTATTGCGCTACCTCTTGGGCAAGACTTAGATGGCTGGAACAAATGTAACCCGTTAGCGTGCGCGTGCGTTGTTCCAGGCAAGAATCAACCTTTAGACACAGCAGACTTTTAGGGAACATCGCGAAGCGAGCGTGCCCTGGACGATGGTGTATTGTCGAGTTTACCGGAGGGAAGGAACTTTCGAGCGTTCGGAACCAATCTCGTTAGGAAAAGGGAGCCCGACAACGCTTTTAGTTTGGTGAGCCTAGTAGCACATACCACTCCCCACTGTGAATCTGCAATGCCAACCAACGAAAACCCGAGTCGGTTCGGAATGAAATCGTATGAATTAAGAATAGTAAGCAGTGGTCGCGATTAGGATGGCCCTAGTAAGTCGTGGACAGTGGTCACGGTGAGGTGGGTCCAACTGCAGGAACATTCGGCCTGCAACGGATAGGTTGACACTTATCGTATGTGACTAGTACGCAAGAGTATTACGTGAAACCCTAGCGAATATTCCTAAACCTAAGTCGCTTTACTTCACCGAGCTTTGAACAAACGAGCTTCTTGTAGACATTTTACAACGTAAACCCTTGATGCTCCATGGTAGCTTCTTTTACACTATAGTCCAAAGGACCGTTTGTGCTGTGTTAAATCTAGTTCTGCGCCCAATAAGCCTCTCTCATTCGTAACTAGCCCAATAACCCAAGGTGAGCTCTCTTGTAGACTTCAACTACAGCGGATGCCTTTAGGTGTGCACATCTCATTGATGCCATATTTTGGTAGGTTCGGAAGGCCTGGCCATTTTAAAACTGCCATTTTAAATAAAATGTTCTGCGACACGTGTAGCACAAACAAGCGTAGCGACTCGAAACTTGAGAAACGATTTCTCGAACGGAAAAAAGTGGCTAGCCTTTGTTTATGATTTACTATATTCTACTGGAAATGGATTTTCAGATATAACGCTATTGTGATCAGTATTAAATAACGTCTGTATATGGGTAGAATTAAGATTGCTAATCTCAATAGGGTACGCCCGCTGAAACTGGTCAAAATTTGAAAACATGATAATTAATAGATCAAAAATATGCTGTCCGTTTTATTGAATTACAATCTGAATCCATGCTTAAGCGGAAAAGCAAAAATCATTAAGCCATATTCTTTCTCCTACAAATTTTTGCCCGATAAGAATATCTTATAAATATGGCTATACAGTATACAATATAATAGTTGCCAATTTGACCATTTGGCATGAGCATTTTCGCAGAAACCCCCAAGAAAATCTAATACTTCACATATTTTTTAAAATAGGTGACATATTGTGAGTAGTATAGAATGTTCGCGATGATGTTCGGCGAGAATCTGAATATCCTCTTTTGGCAATTGATTTCATGCACAATATTTCCTTAATGGCCTAGATAGAACCCGAATATCTTGTCTCTGCTGGCGATTTTTCTTTGCCGGTATTAGCAAGTCGGCCACAGGAAGTTAATGGGTGTTCAGCGATGTTTCTTTCACCGGACAATTCTGTCTCTTTTAGGCTTCAGTCGAGTGACAAATTCACGATAGATAGCCATGGAACCTACCGACAAGACCTCGTATTGACCAATCTTCATAATTTGATGAGGCCAATAGGTATGGCATAGCAACTCTTGTTAAAACAGTACCCTATTTTTGCACGGAACTGTGACTTGTGATAAATGAGAAATGGAGCCTTTGCGGTATTTGCGAACCGTTACATCGCTGGATGGATTGAACTTTAAGAGCGTACGGTATATGTTTTGTGATCAAAACTTTTGGTTCGTCGATCACAGCAGAAGTCTATTGTCCACTGTGAAAGGTTATGCAAAAGATCCTGCATCAGGTAGCTAGAATTAGTACAGAAAAGTAAGCGACTTTTATCGCACGACCACACTCCATCCCACAAAAAAAGATCGTGTTTGCAAGAATACCACAAAACTTGCCAAACAGAGCTCCCACAGATCATCTTGACAATTTTATATTGAGAAAATTTGTCCCGAGACTTTATAGATCCTCGTCGCGTGGCATGCTAGTTATTCAAATGACTAACAACAGCCAGAGGAAAGGCGTATAATTTAATTGAAAATAATAGAGCAATATGAGAAACTTTGATAGTAGTTTGAACGATGTCAAGGTTCCTATTCAATCGCCCAGGTCGTAAAACGCAAAAGTGCAACTGTCAAATTACGTGTTGTGTAGAGAGGGTAAATCATGTATTACCTACATATTTTTTCCTGCGACCCTGCAAATATAAATCAATTAAAGCATTGAAACACCTTCTTAAAATGAGCCAGTATGTCTATATATAGTGAGTTATCCAGCGGCACAAGTTTCATATGACTTCCTCGCATTACCGGCTTTTGGCTGACGTTCAGTTCCGCGTCTCTGCGTTACATACTCTCACCGTTCGTTCGTTCGTTTGTTGTTATCGCCAGCTGCTGTTCGCTTGGATACGCGTGCCCCTCGCCCACTGTAAGAGGGAAAGAAGACGTTGCTAAAAAACGACCGCCAGTCAGCATCGGGTACGAAAGCTGCAAGCTTAAAGCAATACTCTCATATGCGTGTGCGATAGCTTTATCGGACGGTCCCCTCACCCTTGTGAGTGTCCACACTTTCTGTCAACGAACTACTCGCTGCGTGTTTTTCGACAGCTGGTGGTAGGAGTCGAAAAAAAGCACCCTGTTTGGCCTGCTGCTGTAATACACTAATAAAATACTCGTAGGTAGGTAGCGACTTTAGACGGGAGGACAAAGACACGATTCGATGAAGTGGTTTGCGCATTCTTTGAGTCTTGTGGTCGCCTAAACTCTCACCCAAAGTACCACTCGACTAGCTGCTACTGTTGCAATCGACACATTTTGCCACTACTTGTCTATTACTGCTGTACTCAGAAGACGACCTCGTTTTTTCTTCTCGCTTTATATCTCTCCCTCCTTAATTTCCCTTTCCCTCTTTCATTCCCTCTCTGTTTCGTCGATGGCGGACTGCCTTTTCTCTCCTTTCATTCATCTGTTTCGTCCGATCATGTAGCCCTCTCCGTAGATCGACAACAGCGGTAACCCGTGCTTTCCACACTCTCGGAGTTCCCTCTCCACTCGCATCGGAAAGGGAACGCTTATTGCAGAGGGCCGACAAGGGCATGAGGAATGCCCTTTCTCTCAGGCGCGGCTGGCACCCGCCCTGCCAGCAAGCCGGTCGAGATCGAGTTGTCGGACTCGTTGATAGCCCAGCCCAGCCCAGCCCAGCCCAGCCCAGCCTTACTCTGCTGTTATGAGCGATAACCGACGAACAACTGGGGCAATCTTCTCGCCGCGATCGCTGACCTGTCCCAACTAACCGTCGGTAGAGTCGAATACCAAGCAAAAATAGCAGCAGCGAAGTTCATGCTCGTGTAGATACACGTTGGTTTGGCTCAGTCCATTTGGTAGTTGAAAAGTCGAACAGGGGGAAACAAGAAGCGGGCGAAAAGAAGCTCCTGTGGCCCAAAAAAGTAACGCAATCATGCTGGAAGCTAGAGAAACGGCGGCCCCCGCAAGACACAATAGAGAAACTAGGAAGGCATCGTAGAGAAAGAAAAGCCTTGCGAATAACATGGAATCCTGAGCGAACGAGCGCAAGCGCGACAAAACGCGAAAAACAACGTGAAACAGCTTTCATTATAACGACAGTGACGAAATTAACAAGCGAGTGTTTCGGATTTCTGTAAATAAGCCGAGCTTTCGCTCGAACGGATCTGGTCTGCAACAAAGGTGCAAACAGGCGGGTCGAAGATTCTCCCGCTGCGTATTGTGAGAACTCCGTAGTCGCCCTGGATTATTTACCATCATCAGCTCCGCGATTGGTAAAGGCAGCCGAAACTGTCACAAACCGATAGTTACAACTATATTGCAGCAAATTTAATAAGCTGTCCTATTATTGAGCTTTCCCGAGTTGCGCTCTCTTAGTTTTTCTCGGTTTTGAAAAATTATAGCGGTGCGAGTTTCGTCAGGGTAGAAGTGGTTAGGACAGCAAGAAACAAGGCACAACAGGTCCAAATGTCAGAAACCATTGTTGTGGACGTACCGTGTAGTGGCGTACCGTTAAACGTGTCTGATTACGGTGGCAGACACACAATGCCTGTCTAATAGTTGGCTGTGTACGCCTGCGAAAGTATCGACCCGCCAGGCTCCACTGCGACTGCCGTGGACAAGAGCGGCTGAATTTGCTAGCTGCACCTCCATTCGGTCCGTTGAATGGCCGCGTGTCTCTTTAATTCTCAAAATGAAGTTTGCGCGTAACTCCTGCAACAAACGTTTGCCCGTAGAACCTGTCGGTACCGCAATGGCGGGTTAATTTCCTCATTGCCAGGGTGCCAGCGGACATCGAACGTCAGTCACTACGCTGTCGACAACTATGTATCCGCTGATACGGTACCAGCAAAACAGCCAATCGATGTCGATAGAACCCCACGCGCGTCGGGCCTACACCCATGGGGAAGAACCACTTTCGTTCCATAACAGCGACTAACACGTACTACTCAACGCCAGTAGATCATCTTTACGGCAGTGCTGAATTCATGCACTTAACAGGTCGTTGTTCATAAAAGAACCATCGAGACAGGATTACCATTCTAAGGCTCAGAAAGTTGCTCCGCTCTAGTGTCGTATGCACAAAGATGAAGCGATGAAATATCGTAAGAAAGCGTAACGACGCTCCTGTTCAGTGTTGCCGCGTGTCAACTCAATCGGGTTAATACTGAAGTGTTGTTTGGTCCTCTGATCGACTTCACATGCTCCACTGTTGCCGGTACAGCTGTTATTGCAAAGAACTCCGCCGACGCCATCTTCTGACCGAATTTCAGTTGGTAGATATCGATAGCGGACTCTAGCGAATCAAATTGCTATTATATTCGGTCGTAGTTTCTGTCATTATGCCGGCGCCGCTGCGAGCGCCATTAAACCGCTGTTCTAATTTAATCATAATATACAATGGACGGGTTGCATAGTGTCCGCGTTCCTAAAAGGAATAACGAAGCTGTCATTGAGTTTTTGCTTCGGGCCATCCAACAGAATCAATAATAAGTAGAAACAAACAAAAGAGAATTCATTCATCATTAAACACACCGGCTGTACGTAACTCTTGTGTCTCAGCGCTTCGTCGTCCATCGACTAGCTGCTGTCATCTTTTTGAGCGTCATTTTAAACTTTTAAGACGTTAGAGTAGCATTTACGTATGAGCTCTTAATCGTCTAACCTACGTAGACCTTCTATATTCCCGTTGTGGGTCCATTCACATCCAACGTACGAGGCCGAGTCAACTTGCCTCTGCCAGTCTGTTGTGGTGTTACTACGCGAGCCGCTTGACAGCACGGCCGCAGGCCAAACACTCCCGATTGCTACAACTATTGCTAACATCAGGGTTCGGACGCTTACCACCTTATGCTGCCGCTACCGTAGCTAGATTGTAGGTGGTCGTGGGCCGTGCCTAGGAAGAAATTCTATAGGTTCGTCCTGCAGCCGGTGGGCTATTGGATGTACGCTGGAGGCCGTAAGGGTCTACGCGGCCTATTGGCGTACTGGATGGCTGGGTGGCTGGCTGTCGGCCGACGTTGGTAGTGTTGCCTGCTGCATCGTACGGATCTCTATGGTAACCTGTTGGGGAATGGGCGCCGGCGGCCAGTATAGCAGGCCGTAAACCGCCCGTCGCCAGCAGCTGCCGTTAGCGGCTTTTGGTAGCTACTAAACTGAGCGGAAGGAGGCGCAACGGAGTTCGACTGAATGATAGCAGCAATCGAAGACGAAGAAATGGCAGCAGCAGTATTAACAAGAAAGCATCAGAAAATGCCAAAGAAGAACGGGATTTTGTATTCTGGGAACCGTTAATACCGAGATTTATTACTGAGTAATTAGTGGGCCAAGCAACAATAACAGCAAAATATAACAATGCACGAAATCGGCGACCACAATGAAAATTGTAACAAACCAGTAACGGAGAGCTCATCAAAACGATCTTGTTAATAACTCCGTCAGGTTGTGAAACCCTAGGATAGGAAAGAGGTGCTCGCTGTGTTGGCCGGTCAAAAAATTATCTAAAACAACATCGGACAGGACACAGGAAGTCCGTGACGTCGAAAGCTGTTTGACAGTAAAACCTTCCTGACAGCACTGTTCAGGGGCAGGATTGTGAGGTAAACGTTACTGAGAAGATAGCGCACACATGGAAACCCTCAGGACGGCTAAGAATCAAATGGTTCATAGCAAAGGTTGACGAAGTTTCTAGTTCCCCGTCCTCGACAACGTCGACCGTCGACAGTAGAATGGGCTGGGGAAAAGCGTTTTGCAAAAGTAAACAAATGTAATTGTTTACGTTTGTTATAATTGACCATAGCTATTGTTGGTTCAAAACTGGTGCGTAAGTCTACCAGGAAATGAAAAAAATACATACTTTTGGATACCTACGCAGTTTTATGTATTGACATAAGGGTGCATTGTCTCGTACAGTCATCTGTTTTGTGGAAGAAAGCTCAGTCGTTGAGCCGACCAATCGATGGTTACCGCGAGGAAGCAGTATCAGCCAGTGCGTTCAGCTACGCGCTAAATCAAATCTGACGGTGTCCACAACATGTTACGTTATTGAATCGTCCCTAATTGATGTGTAGTGTTCGTAATAGCAATCACCGCCGCTGGAGCCATGCAAGGGAGAAGTGTCGTTTGGAAATAGTACGCGATACATCAAAACATTATTGCACTTATCTTTATTGATTTCCCCCCAATATTTACCCAGGTTGTGCAAAGCGCTGTGAAATTTCGGCATGAGCGATGGATTCCCCTGTTACACGAGGTAATGTTGTGATGATCTACCGACAGGTTGGCTATGTTCGGCTTTTCATCATGTGTATTTCAATTGTGCTTACCTTAATGTGTTTTACTAGTGCGAAAGGGTCATGGAGAATGATTTGCAATGCATGAATCTCACACGATTTACCGGTATCACCAACAACAGCAGTAACCGTCGCGACTCTATCTATATGGCAGGTCTGTTTGTAAGTAGAATAGCAGTACATCGTTGATTACTTCAAACTTGTGATGCGTATCTAGTAGACGTACCAGTTCATCTATGTTAGTCTCACAAATGAAACATTACCGAGGCGCGAGGTTTCCCTGAAGGTGCTCACCGAACGCTGTACAGGCTTTTAGCCGAATTTCTAATGACAAGGACATCATGCTAAGACAGGAAGGGATTTTTTCGAAAGGTGCAGTTTCTCTGTTGACGATACACGTACTTGATCATTGGTGCAGATACGATGTTACCGTTTAGGCAAATGCTCAACCCTTCGTCATTCAAGGAAAAATATCGAGAATAGAACGGCTTTAAATCGAGAAGGTCTGTCGTCTGCTGTTCACGGTGCGCGTGAGAACTGTAAATCGCGTAATCTCTCGTACTGACCGTGGTGCTACGCTTTGCGAGGTGATGTTAAACAAAACCGCTATCATGGCGGTCAAATAAGTGTTCCGGGTAATTGCGGGTAGCGAGGTGCCGTGCGCTCGGATTGAGCCCCAATGTCGACGTCAGATATTTGTCCGAAAGGTTGTATTTAAACTCGCCACTAGATTTCTCAAAGATGAAGGCGTTCACGATACTTCATTCGAATTCATGGAAGTGCATATCAAAACACCGTCCTCTCGTGTTCTCACCTTGCGCAGAGATGAGATTTGAAATCTGCGCTGATCTTCCTAGTGGATTTGTCGTGCACAAACTGGGAAGTGGTAGCGAAAATTAGATAATTTTCTGGTGTTGATTTTGTGATTGTTGTTGTTGGCGATGTTTACAACACGACCGACACTCGCACAGCGGCAGAAAAAACCGCGACGCAGGTGGCGACTGACAAATGACATGGGAGTTAATGTTGGCCATGACTCACGCTGAGCTCCGTCAGCTGCCATCTACAGACCACCTGCCGCCCGTATTACCACAAGCAATCGAAGATTACGTCTACAGCATAAACAGCAGCCGGATCATAGGCCCCTCAGCCCCAGCCAGAGCTGACATGGTCACGACAAAAGGATCCAGGAAGTATAAGAATACCTCAGAGCCGATTTGCTCCCCTTACCGGGCAAACCACGACGCCTAGGCCGAAGCCGACAGCTGCGTGCAATAACTTAGGCAACAGCCCGTCTAACACTAACGGTATCAATAAATATGCCAGCCACTGTCACGGCAGCAATCGCCCTGGTCTAAGTGACAATCTCAACGACCAACGATGGCAATTGGAAGAATTTGAAGAGTCATTCGAATACGAACGAGAACAGGACGAGCAATTGGATGATAACACGGCCTACTCCTATAGGAAGAAGTCCCTAAGAGAAGCCAGGGTGAGGAAGTCCATCGAGGCCAACAACAATCAGACAATTGTTTTGTTTCCGACGTGTCGCTACTAGCCGACAGGTAGGTGAATCAATATTTGATTCGGTACTACGAATTGATATGAATGTAGACAATCGGCTTGACCTAGCTATCGAACAGAACGGGACAATCGAAACGTATACGCCCAGGGGCACCAGATGATGTGGCTTATTGCTGACAAGAGTCAGTGGGCAGTACCAGACATAAATAGGCCGTATAAACTGATTATATAGTATGTATAGCCAAACTAAAATGGCCAAACTGAAACAATCGTCAGTCATTGTATGTCCACAGTGAGGAAAGCCGTATATGACCATTGTAAACTGTACTAGTGACTGCTGATTTTTTGGACGGATTGGAATTGAAGTCACCTGCGATTCCTTCCACCGATCCAGTATTTTGATTGATTGATCCATCGATCGATCGACCGCTCAAATCAATCTGGAGTTTAAGACATTGCGAAAAGACCATGACTGCAATGGCTGACCACTTCATATCTAACACACTAAGCTGCGTACAAACATATAGATAGTAGCTCCTAAAGACGAAGATGTTGTTTTCGACGTATTCGCCTCAATGGAGAAGCAGGCGTTAATGAAACTGTTTGGAACTTGAATAAACACTTACGTGCACTGCAAAAAGTTCGCATGACAATATTCTGTTTAAAGCAAACAGCTTAACACATCAAGAAACATGACTGACGATCTGATGATTTTAACACTACGAGGAACTCGTTGACTACAATATATGCGCAAACATCTTGCATAAACTACCTGGTGTATCGCGGACTTCAAAGAACCCTAGCATAAAAGCATACAGCCCTGAGGGAACCCCGAGGCAGTTACTTTTAATAGGAAAAGGGCCGATTCCAGTGCCTCTTCCAGCACATTAAAAAAAAGAACCTGAAGAGATGATAGAAAAAGCTAGCTGGTTACGATATTGCCTTCTACTGTCAAATATCCCCAGCTCTATACCTGTGAGACATGTACATATATCGCTTCTGCTAATAGCTCAGTTATTATAAGGGCAAAAGCTACATGTAGATTATTGTTATATTGCCGTCACCAGAAACGACCTAGTTTTTCAAGATTTCTGGAAGGGCTTAAATCGCCGGATGACTAACAATGTTGTTGGAGAAGACGTACCCTACATATAGCACAACGAGTTTTTTTTCATAGGGTTGTATTTTATAAGATTGCATCATATAGTTATAACTTTAATTTTATAAGAATATGTCGTAGATTAACATCGTAGTCAAGCTTAGGGTTTATGGTGTGCGGAAGTGCATTGCATTTCACATTAACGCACTTGCCGCATTTGTGGCGATCCTGTATAAGCGTTTACGGAGAAATATCCGCAAGTGGATATGGCTGTTTTATATGTAATGAGTTCGAGTCCTAGTTCCTCATTGTGTTTTAAAATCACGCATTGTGAGACAATCGGCCTTTTTCTGGACTGAGAAAGGACGGAACAAGAACGACCTTTTTTTCTTCAGTGAACAGCGAAAGGCTAGGAAACGATTTAAGGTAACGACATCGCTAGGATTTGATGTACATCTCGTGACTATGCTGTTATCTCCGCAATGCATCTATTGTGCTATTCGTCCAGCTCAATATTCCTAGACAGGAACACTATTCTTAACTACCGATTTATTTATTTTGCAACTGGTTTGGTACGGCATACGTTGGTTCAGTAAATAAATGTGTGTTGGTCACTGTTGTCGATATTGGACTGCGAGACATGATCACTGTTGTACTCCTATAAGCGTAATCCATTGTATTTAACAAACCCATCAGCAGATCTGTAGTCTGTTTTGATTTTCATCGAGAGGTCAACCGGAAAGATGTGGTTAAATACACCAGTATTACAATGAGGCAGGCATTTTCGTTTCCAGCTGTTGTTTGGGTGGATTCCACCTGTTTTTACCCCCCTGTTAGGACAAACAGGCGTAGTGCTTCTTTCCTTCTTAGCTCTTAACTTCCCTTCCATCGTATCTGTACAGCCTTCATAATCAGCTATCCGTCGGCCGACCCATGCACGGCTCATGGGGCAACAGAAAACGTCGAGGCATTTTCGCTAACAACTATTTGCAGCTGTAGCGTTTCTGCGCGGTTCATTACTTATTGTCTGGCTTCACCCAGAGACCAGACCGCCGGAGCACTCAACAACTTAGAAGGCTTTTGTCTTCTTCCTCGTTCCTCAGGTATCTATGAAAGCATGCTACGTTACCCAATGGGGTTCCATGATCGAAGGGCGGTGGGAAGTTCATCCTTTTCTGAGCCTGTAGCCGTGTGTTAGTTGCTGGTTTTCTCTAAAAATATATTCTCATTACTCGCCCTTTTCACCTTTTAGAAAATTTATTTTTAGTAAGGTTTTTTTTTTTATAAAACCGAGGAATGGCAAATATCGAGGCAGTGTTGATTATACCATTATTATTACTATAGCCAGCAATATAGTTAAAACACTTCCAAACGGTGTGCGGAGTCCAGAGTTTTCAGTACGAGACGAAAATCCTGCTAGTGATAAAATATGGTCTGCTTAATGCATTCGTGGTAAACATTCCGAAAAAGTGTTGCTGCAGTTAAGAAACCGATACTTCAATAACGGATTGTCGTACTCTAGACGCACGGGCTGAGATAAGAGAAAAATGATGTCAGATGATCCGACCGATCCAATAGAAGGCCAACCGTTGCAGATAGTAAGAGGCATGACGCATAGCACATATTTTGCGTTATCCAATCCCCGCTGGAAGACTGAATTCAACTATTATCCTTTGATGATTGTACCTAGTATAACTAGTAGGCCGATAGATACTGAGCGAGTAATCTACATAAAATATGCCAGAGGTATCCTTTATGTAAGCGCAGCACCCTCTTACGTGCTCAGCAAAATACATTTTTCAACCGGCACTGAGTTTCTATGAGGAGTTCTGTAGGGGCAGGCAAATTAGTACGCAGGCAGCAATATACGCCTATCTTGGAAGTCCGCCATCGTGTAGCACCTGCTTGCATAGCTCCTACGGACTGCACTACAGTTTTACACTTCGGTTTAGCAGTCCAGGCATAACAGGCACTAAAGGGCAGAGTTAGCGGTCTCTTCAGCCGTCCCTCGCAATGACCTTTTAAACTTCGGGTACACGACCATCTCCGTTCAGAACCACGCTAACAGCTAATATGCCCTTCGTGCAATCCGCTTTGGGCTGAGGCAGCCGTTACAGGCCGAGGTTACTGAGCGTTTTTTATTGCTGCGACTAACTGCTGTTGTTGATCTGGCTATCCGGGGCTCGTCCGCCAAAAGGATACAATCTGAAGGCCAGCGAAAGGTGTAGCACGAGTTTGAGAGAGCCAGAATTGCGTGCGGCTGCATGGCGGTTATGTTCGTTTTCTATGGCTGGTACGTAGGACACGTATTGAGGGGGCAAAGAGAATAAATGGAAGCATTGTATTTGCTTGTTAGTAGACCTATGGCTGCGAGTATGTCGCCGATGCGTTGATTGTGGCACGGACCTTGTGCCGTTCAAAACGTTGCCCGTCATTCCGGCAGCAGTAACTCTGACAGTAATAGAGCGAGCGCAAAGATGCTTCCTGATAAAACTTAGTACCTTTCGAACAGAAAATGGCTTACAGACGACAGCTGGTGCGATAGGCAGGACCAAAACCATCGCACAATCAAACGATGCTGCACGTGCAGATTTTTACGCACCGGACTGATCGTTGAGACGGAACGTAAATCACAGCGTGACTTTTGTATAACATCAATTTTCATCTCTGTGAACGAATTCCAGCAGCGAGCGTCGACGACTTCAATTCTGGCACGACCACTTCATGTGGGTAACGTTGCGGCTATGGATTAGTGGCTTGGGTGGTGGTGATAAAGCTCATCTAGAAAGTCAGAGACGAGCGTACGGAACAGGAAAAGAAAGCTTTCAGTTAATACGCTTATAATATAAGTACGGGCAGTTTAGTAGCATAGCTAGTACGAAATAGTTAACTATTAGCAAATTAGCTGGACAAATATAGACGAATGAATTAGCACCCGCTGTTCCGTGCTGTAGCGGAAACCATAGCGGTCGGTCGGCGCTAAAGAGCTACTAATAGGCGGAGTCAACGTAGTCCGCTTTTCGGAGCTTCTGATGAAAACTATCGAGGACACAACACGATTCCGAGCTTGGATCTCCGACACATCTCAAAAGTCTCAGTATATAGGCTCCGGCACGGCTGTCATCAGCGGCTTTATAATGTCGACACGAAGCTCGCCTGCAACATGGTCTCCGAACAGCTCCACTTGAAAACTTTTCGATGCGCGAGATCGCCTAGTGGGTGTGTTTGCTTGCTATATTTAGGGGCACGTCATGGTCTGGGTTCGAATCCGGGCGTAGTCACTCCGTTTTTTGCTGCAAAGGAGCTAGGTGTTTGATGGAATGCCTGGCGCTGGTGGCAACGCGTAATTCAGGGCCAACGCAATTACGCTGGCGCGCTGACCGAATCGGTTACTGGAGACTAACACGTTATTGTACAACGCCACGCATTATGTACTATACGCGTGCTTTGAATGTACGTAATACGTGAAGGGAAACCGAGTACTCACTAGAACGTTGTAATTCCATTGTCATCGATAAAGTGATCGATTGTGCCAAACAATAATTAGATACTGCGGTCAATGTGGGCCAATGCTTTTTTGCCGTAGCTTTATTAAATAGACTGGAGCGGGCAGTACTTGCGCGTTAGGTATAATTGATTCTCGGTTGTCTATGTTACTATATTCAGGATCAAAGATGAAGATAACGGGTGGTGACCAACATTTAAATCATTAAGTTTCGCTTTTACAATGGCAAAGCATGTAGCGTCCTCTGTCCTTGCATTGAAAGAAGATATTGCACCTTTTGTTTCTCTGTCGATGAACACTTTCGTAGACTGACTTTTATAGTGAGAACATGGAGCGCTTAAGTACAAGCGAACATTTTTTATCATGGTATCAATTAATGAGGGACTAAATTATATTGGACTTGTTTAAACATTCCATCTGTTTTCTTTACACTACAA